GCCCCCACCGGCTGCCCCTGGGACGGCGCGGCGGGGTTTGTAATCGGCTCACACGGGCCGAGCGCAACCCGCATCGGTCCCCCGCTCTGTTCCTCTGAAAAATGAAGGGTTTCAGGTCAAAGCTAGCTCTGCGCCTATCTTTTGTTCAGACCTACCTGCATGGAGCTTAATTTCTTTTTTATGCCGCACACAGAGCGAAGAGATCCTTTACTAGTCATTGTTTTTGAAAGCTCTGCCTGTAAGAGACTGCATAAATTTCAGAAAATTTTAAATAAAAAAAAAATCACACTCGTTACAGATCAGCTCAAAACTTTATTCTTAGAAAAGTAAATGTGTTACATTTAAATGTGTTACATCTACACAAAAACAAACAAACAAAAAAAAAAACCCCAAACAAACCACCAAACCTGTTTTATCTCCTTTTTTTAGTGTCCTATTTTCATCTTTACTCTGAGAAATAGGACTCCCAAACTAAAAATTCCTCTAAAATTACCGATTATTCCATCTTCAACTGCCTCACATGATAAATGGCAACTTGGACTGGCAGCATATAGGAGATTTAGATCGCAAAGAAATCTGTTTCTTTAAAGTACGAGATGATGACTCTGAACTCTGTTCCTGGCTATCATCACTGACTTGGCTGTGTGAAAACGGATGAAATAAGACTGTTTCTCTAAAAATATTGATATATCTGAATAAGAATGTTGGGCATTAATACGTCTAAAATTCTAATAATAAAAGTAATAGATAAGTGTAAAATGTTTCTATATCACCATTCTTTCAGTTCTTCCTCTTTCTTTCCCCCTTCTCCCAAACAGTCCTTGCTTTCTGTTTTGACAAAATCCTGTGTTTGTTTTACACCAAATACCCTATCAGTTTCAGCTCAGTCAGCATAAATATTGACAGTTTCTGTGAGAGGTATATGAAGTCAATAAAAAAGGGAATGATGGCCACATGCTGGGAAGTCTAGATTCTTCAAGAATCTGTAAAAAACATGTATCAAATACCGAATGATGATGAGAATTAAATGGGAACTACACCCATTTGTTTGATACCAAATCAAAATGCTGGTTTTATGACATACCTATGCTGGAAAACTTTATCCAATCAGTCTTGAGTGCAGCACAAGAAGACTATGTTGTGTGAAGTTTTGCCTCTTGGTAGCTGGGAGGGGAAATAAGAGAGCTTGCTGCTTCTATTTCCATTTTCAGTGAAAATTCTTTTTTTTTTTAAGAAAAGTTTTTCTCAGGCTAGCTGCCTACATCCACTGTGGATCAGGACAAGAATATATTGCTTAAATAGAATGTGTAACTGAAAAAAGTTCAGGAAGAAAACTTTGGAGAGAGAACAGATTCTTATGGTTCACAGTTTCAAATAGACATATGAAACACAGATGCGTAAATGCATCAATCAATACGTGCAGTAAATGGTACTCTTGTAGAAGGAATATTAAAAACCCAATAAACATAATAGTAAAGCATAAGAAATAAAAATGGAGATTACATAATAAGCCTAAACAAAAATCATTTCAGAAACTAAGTATTTTTATTTAAAAAGCATTAGGAATGTTCTCCCTTTCTACTTCACAATTTCGACAGCTGTTAGGATTTAATGTTTGCCATCTCATTCAATATCAGGACTGTTCTTGAAGAGATATTCTGCCTATAAACAGAAGAGTTTCAAAGTTACACTTGTTTTCAAGTCTCCAATTTTAAAATTTACACAAAATAACAAAAATATATTGGATAACATTGCTTTAAACAAAATCACAGAGAGTGTTAAGTGGCTGTAAAATATAAATTCTGGCAGGTATGTCAGAGAAACCTCTTCCCCACAAATAATACCATCCAAAATACCATCCACCTCATTCTCTCTCTTGGTAGCAGTCACCCCATCTCTATCACGGGCAAGAGAAGGAAGTGAGCTATTTATGACAGCATTCGTCACTCCATGGAAAATCCTCGGGAGTACCCTAGGGCCTGATTTCTGGGCCCAGAAGAGTAGATAATACAGAATTGGCAGGGTAAGTAAGACCAGCAGAATTCACGCACCAAAGAGAAACAGATTCTGGTAGTGATTCTTGTCCTGTTACTGTTTAGCAAAGCTGGATTACACCCTTACTGATACACAGTATCAACTGATCCCCTAAAAAGTAGCTGCTGGCTTGTTAGTTTTCACAATAATTACTGCTCGCCAGAATTGCAGATACTATGCGTTAATTAATTGTTATCATGACAGTGGGGAAAAAGAATATAAGCCCTTATGTTAACTGAGATTCTTTGGGTCTACATGAATATTTTCATTAAGCTTTGTCAAACCTATTTAAGAAAAAAAATGTAATCGCCTTACCAGAAAATCAACGGGATCATCTGGCCTGATCCTACAGCATTCATTTATCCCTTGCATAAGTGTTGGCATGACATTCTTCATTAAATAGTTTCGTAGTGGAATGGACTGCGCCTCCAGTAACTCTTGTTCTTGTCTTTTCACTTCCTCCAGATGTTTATTCTACAAACAATGAACAAAATCATAAAGAATAAGGTTTATAACATCTACCAAATAGCACTTGACTAAATAATAATGGTGACCCAGAGAAAAAATAGTATTAGAAGCTGTGGACAGAATTTTAAAACTCACAACTTGGCAGGAAAAACTATGAACTGCTTATTAAATTTAGAGTACATGGCACACTGAGGACAAAGAATTGAACATGATGAAAACTGAAATTATCTCCTTCATAAAATTATTTTATTTTTCTCTCTTTAACACCTAAAAGAAGGTTTATTCTGAAGTCTTCCAGCGGTCCTTTTTCCGTAAGATATTTGGCAAAATAGTTGGAATACACTGTATCACTTCAAAAATTAGTACTTGTTGCAAATGCAGAGGGATTCTTGAGGGTTCTTTGAACTGGAGGGGAAGGAGAATATTTTTACTCAGAAAAGAGCCCTGACTCTCTAAATAACTGAATTGTGTTGGTTTGTTTGTTTATTTGTTTTGGGTTTGGTTTCTTTGCTTTGTTTTTATTTCATTTATGTCAGTTTTCGAGGGGGATGAGAGTTAAATAAACTAAAACCACAGTAAATTACATCTATTTACACCGGCTAAATTTATTCTTGAATTCAGGTTAAATCAAATACAATGATTACACTCAAAAAGTAGGAGGGGTGGGGAAATAAAACTGCTGCGAGTTTTTCTTTCTTCTATTCAATACCATGCATACTTGCAGTAGTTTTATCCAGAAGATTACTCAAAAACATTTCTATTGTCCTCTCTTCTCTTATTTTATTCATCAGTAGCCTGAATCGTATATAGATACAGCAAGCAGATGGTACTCTGAAGACTGCTTGTCTATACTCAAGGCATAACACAGAAGTGATGTTCAGATAAAACCGATATACCAGTATCTGGAAAAGATTTACTTTATTCACTCAACCCAGGAGTGCTACTGAGTACGTCCTGTAAGTGGTCTTTGGTCACTGCCCCAAGACAGCAGCTAATCTACAGTCTCCAGGGCAAATGAATAGTTGCTTAGATTTCCTGAGCATCTGCCTATTTGAAAGGATAAACTTAAGCACACATTTTATTTAAACACCTACTTTAGCTTTGAATAATGCACAGTTTGCTTTCTTGAAAGTTAGATGGGTTTGGACTGAATATAGCTAAAAATGTGTTAATTACCGTTACTAATCTTTTAGATAAGTTTACAGAGAGTACAAAATGCTATTTAATGTTGAATGAGGCTGTAAATAAGCATAGAGATAACAAAGTGTATTTACAAGCCAACATCAGAGCAATGTAAATGCTTCTTTAAAAGTGAATAATTTCAGAGTATTATTTCCCCATAGATGTGTATGAGCATTCGAATGTAAGAAAAGGATTCCTCTGTGGAATGATCAGTTTGTTTTTAAATAGCTCTAGAAGAAGACAATAGAAGAACTGCCTTCTGGTGAAACAACCTGACTTTGGGTGTGAACAAAAACATTCCTATAGTACGCACTTCAGGTTATTTACCTAAAATGTCCTTAGACATGGCAAAGCAAATAAGGAAAAAACATCATGTGCAAATCCTGTGAGGTCAGGTAGCCTAAATGCCAAGTACTTATTAGCAGACAAAAAGCATCCTTCAGACTGCATCAGGTAGTCCTCACTGAACTGAGGACTTGGCTCTCAAAGGTGTTTCTCTTGCAGGCTCAGCAACCTTTCTGCAATGCAGACTGGAATATTGATCAGTGTTGAGTTAAAAATCTTGTTTGAAAGGCATGATAATTAAGACTTGGTCAGCTGCTTAGAAGTAAAGTGAGCAAAATGCAAAAGTCCTAGAAGACTGGTTATGGAAAAACACCATTAATTATAATAGATATTTATAAGTGGTAAAATAAAAGAGCTACGGTGCAGCAACAACAAGAGTATCATAAAAGTATTTTAAAGACATGGTGATACCAACATGCAAAAAAAAAAAAAGCTATGTCTGTAATCAAAAAGAGATTATTCTTTAGGTTGGGTCTCAAAATGCACCGTGAAGATACTCTAGACCAGATCTAAAGTATGATATAAGGAACTAGAGAATTTATGCCACACTTTCCAAGTGTATTTACCTAACAGATTGCTGGAAGCCATCTAAACCACATAAATAATAATGGTTTCAAAAAAATATGTATTAACCTACCCACTCTTCCCAATTTGCCATCCTTTCAGCCCTTTCCTCAGTTTCTTTACGCTCTCGTTCAGCTTTTTCTTGAGCTTCTTTGACAAGGCGTTCCTCAGCTGCTTTGCGTTCCAAATTCTCCTTTTCTTCATCTGTCAAACCATAATTCCGAGGTTCCCCAATTTCTTTGATGATCTCTTTTACAATAAATCTGTTCTCAGGATCTTCAAATTTGGCTACATCTTTTAAACAATACAAGACAGAACTTCTCAAGGCTTTTGTCAATTATAAATGGACATCAGTAAATAACTGCAAGACCTAAAAATGTAGGTCTTGTTTGAATCACATTATGATCACATTGTTTGAATTTTCAAGCATAAGATGTTGTTTTGAGTTGCTTATAAATGTCAATTTTTTGCTACACAGAACGAAGTTTTCTACATCTGATTTTCTTTACTAGTTTCAGCTAAAATAGTTTGTCTTTTTAAGATGATGTAAGGAAGAAATGTATTAAAGTAATTTTTACAACTATTCTGTTTATCAGTCGCAGCTTGCCTAAGTTTTGAAACTTGAAAATGAGGTCATTCAACTATCAGAGATGTTCCTGTCACCAATCTTATGTCAACTTATCCAGATGTATAAAACCATCAGCTTTTGACCCTGTCTCCCCCATCAGTTACACAATAGGTTGTTAGGATTTGGCAACAAACTCCAAAGTTTTCACTCATACAGATTTACAAATACACAGACCTATCTTTAGTTGAACTCTTACTGTGTTATATCTACAAAACAAATCTGTAGCTGCATGTAGGAGCACAGAGACTGAGCAAGACCTCTTTCATTTCATTCCTTCTCCCTTTTAAGTGCTGGAGGCTACTTGCATATTAAACTTGCAAAAAAAGAAGCAAAAGAAAAAAATACAGAAAAATGGGGACTGTCTTCAGGGCTTTCTGGGCTCCGTATGCTTTCAGTGTGGGGAGGCATCTGGCAGAAAGGGTACAGAAATATACATGGAAAAGAGGAAAAGTGGGCTTTTCAGGTATCCAGAGAATAGAGAGATAAAGGGCTTGTTCAGTGGTAAGGGACTGGGGATGTAAAGGCACAGTCATGGGTAAGAAGAGTAAGCAGAGGAAGGGGGAAAATCAGAACAGCTAGAATACAGAATTTAGATGAGAATCTAGTAGTCCCTACTCCACAGTCCTCTGTTTTATGAAGTGATTTTGAAAGACATTGGCAAAGCATGCTTCGCTCTTCTTTCTAATCACTAATTCGGACAGAAGATGGCTGTCCAATACTAACACCATTATTCCAAGAGTTTAAGTGTTTGTGATTTGGACCTGAAATCCAAACTCTGCCAATGAATTGAGGAGAAAGCTAACATAATTCTATATAATAAAATTTCTTTTACAGCTTCTTCTTTCAAAAAAATCAGGAATTGTATTCCTGAGGTATTCCAAATTAAAAGAATAATACATTTTCTATGCCAAGCGGTCCATTGTTTTGGCAATTTTAGCTGCACCTGGATATACAAATTACAGCACAAACCACTTTTCCAGTCATTTAAAGTATTGCTAAGAACTCTCTCAGCATTGAATTTGAGGTCTCAAAGACTGCATTTTTTTCTTAGATGGCCAAGCAAGATTACAATGCAAATATTACAGCAGTCATAATTAACTGCATTTATCCTGAAAAATAAATACCTTTTAAATAAAAAATTAAGTTAGCACTGACGCTAATTGAGAAGAAAGATCACCAGAAAAGGAGTTCATAAATTAAGATCTTCAAAGGAAATTGCTGTTACAACTTTAACATGCCTTTTTGTAGATGATCTAACATGCCTGTGTCACCATCCCCGATTTGCAGATGAGAAAACAAGACAAGATAACTGACTTGCAGACTTCATGCAGTGAGTCATTGTAGAAAAGTAGGGCTTCCAGAATCTTGAAGCCTACTCCTTTGTACTAATCATATTTCAGACTCAGAAAAAATAATAATCATAAAAGCAATTAATAAAGTCATATGTTATGATTCTCTAAAATTAAGGTGGAAGAAAGATTCAATTTGATTAGTTTGAGTCAATATTTAATAAATCAAGCACAATTTTTTAACCATTCCCCACTAAATTCCTTCAGAATATGACTGAGAAAGCAGTTGGCTCTCTGCTTAAATATGATGCTACTTAATTCTATGGATCTGATATAAACCAACTGGAACATCAGCTAGAATGGAGGGGTATTTGCAGAGCTGAAGGTTCCTCACTGAAGTTATCTTTGTAATCTGTCCTTACCATTTTACAACAGAGAGCCAGATGCTTGCATACTTCGGTGGGGAACAATCAGTGATGTGAATATAGGTGAAGAGGCAGTCCCTGAGATAAACAGGACCTAAAGACAATGCTCCTTTGAAGATGAGAATCAACACTATAAACTGAATGTGAAAATTATCTGGAAGTCACTGAATGTCACAGTTGTGATACCTCAATAATTAAAATTAGTAGGCCAGCGAGTTTCCTTATTTGGAATGGACTAGAGTTTAAGAGTAACCTTTAGGCATAATTCTTAGCAGAAAACACTGCAGTATTCTACCATAGAGTATACACTTTACAGCCCCCACCAAAATAAAACATGGTCTTGGACAGTGCTACTACTTGCATATCCAGATGTATAAAAGATAAGAATATGACCAATTGATGGCATCAGACCTTAATATTTACCATTTCTTACATTACTTTCTGTAGCAGAATTACCTCAATTCTAAAATGATTATACTAACACACTATTTTTTTCCACTGCTACACTTCCTAACGACACAAGTATGGTATTATTCTCAAGATAATCTCCATGACTGACATTAAATACAAAAACTTAGGAAATCAATTATGACTGAGGCTGTTCAACAATTAACTTCCCATAACTCATCTCAAATGGACATTCCACATATCAGCAGTTTGAGTTTAGTTGCAGGGTTTTCCCCTTGTTATTTCTTTTCTACCCCTCCCCGCCAAAAAAAAATAAAAACCAAAACCATTTTTCTTAAGAATGCTGTCACCCTGATCTCACTGTTTTTGAATAATCAGATTATAGTAATCTTCTCAAGATTTCCCAGTGACCACAATTTTCTAGATAGTTAGACAAATTTTCTCACATACAGGTATAGTGCAAAACAGATTCAGTCCTAGCCTTCCACCTTTAATTTCTAATCATTTTCTTTCATGCTTCATTATCTACAGATTACCCATATATTGTCATGGCATCTAAGGACAAGTCTGAAGAAAAAATATAAGCAACTATAATCTTGAAAGTCCATGAAAATATACTATTACACCAATCTGGAAGGATGCCAGCGCAGAGGTCTGTAACCTAAGTCAGAAAATTATTTTGATCATTTAGCCTGCAAAAATAGACAATTAAACCCCCTATTTTTTAAAACAGATTAACTGTATGAGAACAATTCAGAATCCTTATGAGTATACAGATATTTTTGCAGGTATATAATTAAATGCTTGTTGTATCTGTATTCTGCAATATTGATTAAAAATATTATTTATACATGTACACTTACTATATGATCTTCACAAGTGTTAAATTTGTGACAACAAAAATTTTTTATTCATATTTTATCTTATAATTTTATTATTTCATACCAATAAACTGAGGATGTATTTCAAGTTCATCAAAATAGTTGAGAACAGTCTTATCGTCTGTGTTGAACTCTCTGAAGAGATTCAGAGATTGCAGGAACCGGTCCTGGGTATAATGAGTTCCAGCAACAATTCTCTCAGGCAGATTTATTATTCTGTTTATAAGGAATTCATCAGATGCAGTCAAAGAAATAACAAATTCTGTGAAGAACAACACATTATCAGCACCCATATATTATTGTTTTTCCTCTTTCTTACCTATTTTGTGTTAATAATACATTTTAAACCACAATTGAACATAGATGTGAATTGTATATAACTTTATAGAGAATTTAATTATCAAATGCTTATATTCAACTTCTGCAGTTAGAGCAATCCAACAATATTGAGACATGTCTGTAAAGAAGCTACATATTCCAATTTCACCAAATTCTTTCTTAGCACTGTCAAGACTATTCTTGCAATAAGCAGCACAAAAATCTTAAGAACAGCAATGTAGTGTAGTCCAAATTTTCTGTGAAAGCAATCATACAACCAATACATGTAATAAGTATAGGAGGATTCTTATGAATTCCTATGAATGGTGCAGCCAAAGCAGCAAGTAACACTGGAAAATTTAACAACTCACTTGTCTGTCAAGTCATCAAAAGTCATCAACCTGTATTGTGATTTTTAATCTCACAAATAAAGGGGTATCTGCTGAATTAAAGTAAATTTAAAAAAAAAAAAAATCAAATAGTACATCAAAGATACTATGCCACCACATGCCATAAAATTTAGTGTAATGTTATTTTAGTACTACTGGTAGACAAAACCACCAGAAATCTTTCAAGGTTCCATAAAAAACCCCGTCTCCTTTCTTCACTTCAGAAGTCTCATAATTGTAGTTTCATTACGCTGAATCTTCTGGTATTTTATTAACTCAACAATCAATTTTTATTTATTAAATATGACTTCATATAATTTATCACAATATATTCTGATATTTCTATTAATATCATTACTCAGTACTACTGAGACCTGTTAATTTGTCAAAGCCAGGAAGTTATGTTTCTGACACCAGAGAGAAATTTGCAGGATCAAGCACAGACACAGCCCCCCTCCCGGCTTCCCCCCCTGAAAAACCTCCAAAAAACCCCAGAAGAAACACAAGAAAACCTCCCCAAACTAACAAAAATCCTTTCTGGACCATTCTGTTTTCTAAAATAAGCTTTCTCCAAGGTTGAGAAGGTATCTTAAAACAGATCCCATGCCTGAGGTCCTTGTTATGGGAGAGAAAGTGGTACTTCTCCAGCCCATCACAATAATTCGTTCACATTTCCTCTTTTGAAATGGAGGCTAAAAGTGGTTTCGTTTATGAATAACAGAAATTGTTTACTTCAGAAATCAGCAATTTATAAGTGGTTACAAACTTAGTAGAAGTCTGCTCTTTGAATCAAACCTTTGTCCCTTTCATGTAAGCACAAGGACTAAGGAATTTTTCAGGAAGTTCTGAATTTTCTTCACTTCCACTGAAGCCAGTAAATTATCATTTACTGAAACACCAAACATTTGAGATATTCAACCTTTATACTATCTAACTGGACACATCTTGTAATGCAAAATATGCCAAATGTATTGTTTGAATGTAATCAAAACTTCCAAGGAAATCAAGAATAGCGAAAACACCAGGATGAAGCCATTTCTGCATAGATGAAAACCACTCTATTTTAATTCCCAACTTAACTGATGCGTTAAAATGAATTTGGTAACATCTTTCAAGATATCACACTAAAGATAAATTTAGGTTTTTTAATATGCTAAATTCAGGAGCTCATGTTTATTCCATTAATAGCTGTAATCACAACAAAGGCAGTCACCACTATTGTTATCAGCCAACATGATGACATTTTCACAAAAAGAAAAAAAAAGAATAAAACACCCACAAACTGAACCAAAACCTTCCTTCTGATTAATTGTTCACTTTCAAATAAGAGGGCAGCAGCATTACATGGATTAGATATTTATTTTATGTTAAATTAAATATGAACAGATGGAGTGATATTTTAGACTTCTCGTTGGTGGCAGCAGTACTTGAAAACTCCTCTGTTTATTTAAAAAGAAATCTATCAAACTTACCAGGTGTGATTAATTTATCACATTTAGGTATTTTGCCTTTAATTTCTTCTTCTTCATCTTCACTTTCCACTAAAACAAAAGAATTTTTTTTTAAATATATATATATATTTGCTAAAAATGTGCCCCATACAAACACAGGTTTGTCTATATTCAAATTATACTAATTGTTGGAAATTAGTCTAATCTGGACACCAGCTTAGAGAATTCAGTAAGTAATTCGTGCCGCCAGCCACCACAGAATTCTACCTTGGGACACTAATAGTTGTTTGCCTATACAGCGGAAGTATGCACATGCATACACAATTTTAAAATGTGTCCATACCGCTGTCCTGACCCTGGTCTCTCCTCCTGCCAAGTACATTATTCTGCCAAAAAACAGAGACAGGGCTTAGAACAGTGAGTAGAAATGTTTTACAGTAGTATGGTTAAAATGGTTTCTGCCACTAAGTGCCTGCTATTCTGAATAGTCAGTAAAACTGCCTGAGGGGCATCAGCTGAGCATGATAATTTACAGCCCAGCATATTAAGCTGAACAAGATTGTTTTTTGTTTTTCTTCAAACCTCATGATATAATTTACATATGGAGATGGTTCTTGGTCTTAATGCATGGACAGTACTTGCTCACAGTTTGAAATGTATGTTGCAGAGCTCCTCTGAAGTCATATCTACTGTAGCTGATCTAATATACCCACTTCTAATCTGGCTCACAAAACATGTATTGGTGCACTGGCTGGATCCCCTCATTAAGCAGCCCTTAAATATTATGAAGAAATTCTGCCTTAGAGTTTGCTTGAGTGGAGTAGACCAACACAGAACCAGAAAGCATCCTCCATATTTGTGCATTCATTTCGTACTTTGCCAGCAAAGATAGTCTGAAAACTATCTTGTGCTTAAATTAAATAAGGTGCATTACAATCCTTCTTACATTTTAAGCATCATGTGAAAACAACTTTATTTTGTGTCCTGCACTGCAGTCATTACACCGCTGATGTACTTCCACTACTATGGCACTGAGAACAATAACGATAATGACAATATTTGCAGCAATAAAAACAAAAGCAGCAATAAAAACAAAAGGAGCAGTACATACAATTAAAAAGATCTTTTGCCTGGTCATAGGTCTCTGGGAACCCATCTAAAACATATCCCTGATTCCTACAAAGCATAGATTTGAGCTTATCCTTCACAAATTTAACAACATGCTGATCATCTAGACGACCTAAGACACAAGGAAGGTTAATAGGTACCTAGTTTATGGAAAAGAGATATCTGAAATTATTTTACTAACATTTTAATTCATTTATCAGAAAAACTTCTATTTAGACCCTAAAAAATTTATGTATTTTGAGTTATGATCTGTATATTACCTGTTGTCAGTGATCTATGAAATATGTGTAGCTATAAAAGAAAAATACATTTGTGTTTACAAGGACATAAATATTAGAACTTTAAGGATACTAAACATGAAATGAGGGTTTTTTAGAATAATGCAGTCAGATTTTAATAGAAGCAGCAAAGAAATATTTATAGAAAAAGAAGTGACAAAACAATAATTTTCTATTTACAATTAACAGTAAGACTTAAAGATAGTCTTGCAAAACAAACATGAGATAGGTTTTACAAGTTTCATTTTCAGATTAATAGATTGAGCTATGAAGCAGTTTATTAACTTGGCCTACATTGTTGAGTAAATATGTGGGAGTAAAAAGTTCGGTTTGACCTAATTTTTTGTCCTTTTGCAACTGTTGACTCCAGTTTCCTACTTTATTTTGCTTTGCCTTTTGAAAGTCTTAAATATTTATAAACCATTGTAAACATGAAAGTATGCTACTATTTTAAAAGGCATTATTATTTTAAACAACAAAGCAAGGCATGCAGAAGAGATGCTGCCATAGATGTCATAACTGAAGCTTTTGGCTGTGTTACAAGTTCATTGCTTTGCAGATACACAAGATCCAAACCAGGTAAACCTTTAGGGATAGAATGCATTTTTAAGGGGGATCACTTTATACCGCATGGAAAATGTTAAGCACTAAGTCAAAAACTACATGACTTTATTTGTATATAGATGATAATTAGTACTTTTCAGTAATGGCAATTTTTATGGACCTTTTTCAATCTGCAGACTTTAAAATTCTTCACAGGCTTCAGTAAATACTATTTACTTTTTAGAAATGGCCAAAATGAGATATAAGGTACTTAAAAAACCCCACAATCTCATATGACAGTGTATTAGTTCTTTTTCTTACTAAAATACTTTTCTTCTTTGGAAATTTGATAAAGGCATGCTTCACTAACTTTTTACTGTACATTATATAAATTATGCTCCCTGTTCTGAGAAGAAAACATGATGTTTTTAAAAAAATCTGGTGAAGAATCTAATGCTTCTGAGTATACCATTGTTACTTATATATCAACTTACAGTGTAAAAAGAATTATATAAAATGTATAAAGAAATAGAAAGTTGGAGCTTCTACAATTAAAGCACCACAGTATTTAAAAAAATATATCACTTCTGATATACAAGGTATATAATGTATAATGTAAAACATTGTATTTGATTTTTAAATAAGGTACAAACAAATGGGCAGGGCATGATTCTTGCTTTTAATAGGACGTAAAAGTTCTGAAGCACCAATTTACTTCCTGATTTTCCATTTGCATGGGGTTGCACTAGTTACCTAAATCCCACCTTAGTAGTTTGTATTTCCTACCTGCATTCTGTTCCATGCTTTCTTTTATTCTAGCTAATAACTCGTGTGCTGCTTCTACATTTTTACCCTCTTCCTCTTCATCATCTTCTCCCTCTTCTACCACATTGTCAGAGTCCAGTTCTTTAGGAACCACAATTTTCTCCTGAATTCAAGATCAGAAATATGAATAGGCTCAGAAATTCCATAGCCAAATTTCTTTTATACACAGGTGTAACAAAAGGAAAAAAAAAAAAATTAAACAATTCATTTCACGTATGCTCCTGGACAGTGAGATACTGAGCAACCTTCAGGTTCTCAAAAGAGTTCAGTGCATCCCCCAGAGGGATCAGTATGTCAAAAGAGCTTTCCATTCTAAAATAATGGAATTGTAACTAATTTTTAAATGATGCCAAACATTTTAAAATCACAGAAATTAAAATAGCAAAATTAGAAAACAGCAACACACCAGATTCGTTATTGTTTCAGAAATCACATCATTTATCTTAATGTGATGTAGCTTGTAGTGTTTGCAGAGCTCTTCAGCAATGGTAGATTTGCCAACCCCAGGAGGACCATGAATGCAAACTTTGAGAGGCTGGAAAAAAAAGATAAAGATATAACATCATTCAAACAATATGGATTTTTTTGTAAAAGGAACAATCTTTTTACTATAACTAATAGGAAATAACAAATTATTATCATTAAAACTGAAAATTTATTTTAGTTTTATTCCTTTATTTATTTCTCACTGAATACCTCCTATATCATCCACAGGCTTCAAGTAACACAGTTACTTAAATTAAATGTACAACTTTACCATTGGAGAAAAAGCATGCTTCTATTTAGTAGACTCACAGACCAACTAATAGTGGCACTGTTAGTGTTTGAATGATCAAAAGAGACGAAACACAACCCCATAGATAGGATACAGTGAATTTTGGAATGAGGTGGCAGATATTCTACTATACACACGCAATAGCTCTATTTCCCAACTGAGGTAGAGTTGCTGTCATCACAATGGTTATTTTGACCTCAAAAATTTCAGATCCATCCCAATCTTAAGATATCATCGATTTCTCATTTCAGCCCAACTGGCCTGTAGATGAGTAAGGGTAACTAAGATTCCAGTATACACTTATTAAATATATTATGCAACAAACTCAAAATCATACATCATTAACTGCCTATCTTAATTCAGTAAATCTGACAGTGCAAAGTCTGCAAATTTAATAGAGTAGTGACAGGGAGAGAGGTCTAGCTAGCCTTCCCTCCCCTTGCCACTTGGTGTGTCTATATTTTGTACTGAATTTTTTGAATTACATGCATACGTACTCAGATGCAGTAGTTTAACCCAAACACAGATCTGATAATCCTTCCAGAGGTACGCAGGGACTTGTAACGAACAACCTCGAATGATAGTAGCTGTATTTTATTTTACACCTCCTGAACTCTTGTTCAAAGTTTGAACAAGATTTAGACATGCTGAACAGCTTTATCATACCAATCAATACTTGAATGTATGCAAGCATTTTTCTGCACCTTTCAATAACTTTCCCCATTTGAATATAGAAGTTCTAAATATTAAGCTAACACAGGAAACAGCAAAGTTGCTCAGTACATTACATAATAGAGCAGGGTAAAATGAAAGCTACATTGCAATTGAATATCCTGGCTCACTAAATATAATGAAGGACACAAAATACTCGCCTAACTACTGGCTATTATAAAAAAGGTTAAATAAAAGATACACTTATTGTGTTCTTGAAG